CTATAGAACCAAACTTGTGTGATGTAATATTTTGTTTCATTCTATCAGCAAATAGTAACTTTGCTTCATTGAGGATATGCTTGCACTCATTATAAGCAGAGACAAAGAGACATCTGTTGCAATCAGACATGTTGCTTCGGTACAGATGGTGATTCCTATGGGCTATAGAAGCTGAGCAAATAGCTGAGAACCAAGGAGATGAGCACAATTTAACTTTATATTTTTGTGCTGGAATGAAAGGCTCGATGCTAGCTTTTACCCAGGAGGAGACCTCAGACACACATTTTTGAACAGGGTGATTAAAAACCACATTCCAAGGGACATCAAAAAGGAAATCACGAAACAAGTCCCAGTCTGATCATTGATAACAGAAAGATATTCTGTTAGTAGAAGATTCTTGGTTGGAGCGGGAGTTAATAGACACTATGGCATGATCAGAGTTGCCAAGAGAGCAGTGCTGTGTAGCACAACAAGAGTCAGGGATGGAGGTAAAGCAAAGATTAAGAAGGAAAGCATTACTGTCAGGGTTACTGGGGAAATGTGTAGGAAAGTCAACCACTTGCAGGAGGGATTGAGTGATTGAAAAGTTAAGGGTTTCGATGGTAGCAAGGTCATTTACAAAATGTTTAAGCCACATGAAGCAGAAATGTTATCAAATACACCACAGTCTTGAGAGGAAGGAAAATGATAGAGAAAGAGCTTACTGAGTTCAGGAGATAGATTAAGACACATATACGAATGGTCTGGAGATTCAAGAGAAAGTTCCCTAGCCAGTGGGAGATGACCATGGACATAAACTCCCAGGCCATGCATGGGGACTGATGAGTTAAGGTTAGTCTCGCAGAGAGCTAATATATCAGGAGACTTTTCAATTCCACACTGCAGAAATTGGTACGAATAGCATGGACATTGGAGAAGGAAATGTTAAAGGGTTTAAGTGATTTTTTTTACATCTGGTTTAGGTTTATAGTTTTGATTGTTTATGGTCATGTTGAGTTATGTTGGTAAGGAAAGGCCTAAAGTAATTGTAGCAGACGGTCATTGTATGTAAAAGGGCAGAAAGGAACTGGCGCAGACTGCAGCACAATGTGGCCCCAGGGTTGCCCACTGGAGGTGCGTGCAAAGACACCTCTCCATGCATGACATGGCACTGCAAGAACCCTAATATTATGCAACTGTTGATCAGAGCAGCCTCTCAAGACACTACACAGGAGTTCAGGCTCCTAATTACCAGTCAGGAATAGCAACCAGAAAACTGCCAACCCAGTACCCTCAGTATGAAAAGACATTGTCACAAACTGCACACATCACAAGCGATTCACAACAACACCACAACAGAGGCCAGAGAAAAGGAAAGGAACCTGGAACCCATTCCTAAACAGGAAACAAGGGATGAGCCTCTACTCCTGTTCAAGAGAAGAGGGAGGAGTATTGACCGGGTGATAGGAAAGCCTATCTACTCCTATAAAAAAAAACGAAAAAAAACAAACAAGCAACAAACAAGAAGTCCATGAACATTGAACATGGCACCCAGAGTTGAAACTGAAATATAAAGTTTCCACTTAGTTTAAGTGCCAACATGCACTTCCCGTTGAAGACAAAGACTCCATGTCTGTGAGCCAAGAATAGAAATAACATCCAATACTTGCATGAGCCAGAAAAAAAAATCAAAGAACTAATATTCAAACAAACTTTTCAAAATGGGGGAAGAGACTAAATTACGCTTCCGGGAGCAAAGTGTTCCGCAGTGAATGTAGTTAAACAAGGCGGACGAATGAACATGGCTGAGCCCGAATTTTTATTGTCGATAACTCCAAAATGGTAGGTTTTATCAAAATTTAATTGTTATTTTCGAGTTTAGCATGTATATTTACACGGAGATTTGGGAAATTTTTAATAGCGCAGTGCTTAAAAAGCAAATTAACCAAATTCACTTCAATTAAAAATTTCTTGTAAAAATAAAGAATTCATACTGAGTAAAAAAAAAAAAAACGAATAGGGAAATAAAATGATTAAGAATGAAATTCAAAGAAATACATACAAGATGAGTGACGATATACTTTTTCATGTGGCATCGAAGACGAAGCAGGAGTGATTTTTTATTTTATTTATTTATTTTTTTTTTTTTTTGACAGCCACTTCTATTCATGTCCGAATTTTAATCCCAGAGAAGGGCAATGCTAAGATGGCCATGTATCAGCATTAACTTCGCTTTGAAGATGATCGTAAACGGAGTGAGAAGGCAATGTAAATATTTTTTTTTTTTTTGTACCTTTACTGTAGTCACGATTAACCTTTTTCTCTAACATTTGTTTTGCGTCTTGACATTCTCATTTCTTTGAGAGAACAACGTATGGCTTATGATAATAACGAAAAGCCTGTTTAAAACAGTTCATATTTTGGTATGTGAGAGTGGTAAAATGGAAAGGCCCATTATTGCACAATAATTGAATGGCAGCAGATACGCTTCAACAGTAAAAAAATGTTTGATCTTTTTTTTTTTTTTCAATAAACTCAGTAAAAAAAACAAAAACCCAACTGTCAAACAAGATAAACCGATTTAACTTAATTGAATTCTTATAAAATATAAATTATAAATAAATCATAAGAAAATAAATACTTCCGAAATTAAAATTTAGTAGGTATTTTAAAGATATATTTAAAAATTCAAATAATTTAATTATTTCCCTTTATATGTTGCTTATTAGTACCGAGTAAAAAATGGAATAGGTAAATAAAATGATTAGGAATTAAATTCAAAGAGATACATACAAATAAGACGGGCGACAATACACTTTTTCACGTGGCTTCATACATGGAAAATTAAACAAGAAGTGACTTTTTTTTCTTTTTTTTTTTTTGCCATGTCAGAATTTAAATCCCAAGACCAAGGAAGGTGTTCAGTGCTATATATTTATTTGAAAATTATTATAACATAAAAATGTTATAAAATCACTACAAAAATAGCTATTTTGTTTCGACACTTCAGGTGTCTTATCAAGTGATGGTGTTGACAGAAGTGTTGAAACAAAATGGCTATTTTTGTAGTGATTTTATAACATTTTTATGTTATAATTTTTGAATAAATGATTATATTTGCTCTACTCTATATTGAGCACTCTTTTAAGAATAGTATTTGTTGGTTATTGGAATTTATTCCGTATACACCAATCTTATACTTGTGTGTGTATATATATATATATATATATATATTATTAATCAAAAAGTCAGATACAAAAGTATTATCTTGATTTAATAACGGCTATCCGGAAGGTGTTATTAAAACAAACATTAGACTTAAAATTTTTAAGCTTAAATAAATTAAAACATATTTGGTCAAACTAAGTGTCCTGTCTACATGAGATTAGCCTGGATTGGCTCTTGGTCAATCTTGCACTGATAAGATGTCCTCAACTGACATGAACTGCTTCAATTCTGGAGTAGTACAGAACATCTTTGCTACTAAAAGTGCTTTCCCGGCTGTCCGGAAGGATGTCTTGTCCATCAATCAACAAAGTTCTGTTATTTATCATTTTAAGTGTTGGTGTGAAGTGGATTATGTGGGTAAGACAATCCAGTGTTTGGAGGTGTGGATGGCTCAGCATGTGCCTGGTTTTATATATAGACATACTCCATTAATATCTAAGCACTCACACGCGCATGAGCCTGTCATCGGGGAGCATTTATTGAGTTCTGTCTCTTGTGGGTCCAATTATTCAGCAGATTTCTTCTCTGTACTGCACAGGGTTTGGACAAAATATCCTCTTAACATTTTGAAGTTGCTTGTTATCAATACCTCTCATCTGACTCTGTGTAGGCAGAGGGAGCTGAAACATAAACAAGCACTCTTTGGTGAGAGTCTTTGACTTGTTCTGGGCAACTTTAAAGTTTTTTTTTATCTTCTCTTTCCCCCTTGTCTCTTTTAATTCTATTGCAAGGAGATTTGTTTCCTTTTAGTAGTTATTATTAATTCCAACGATGTTTCTTCTGATGAAAAGTACCATAAAATTTCTATTTTTAATCGAGAGAATACATTTATACCTGATCCTGCAAAAACCTCTTTTTTGATATTAGGAACTTTTGTCTTTTTCTTCTATTTTTTGACTAAGAGTGTGTTTTCCATGTTGATAATGTGTTAAATTTCTCAGAATAAATCTGTAGAGAAGACAAACTGAATAAAACAGACAATCGGAAAATAGTACTTAGTCCTTGTCAACACATTTCGTCATTTGACTTTATGAAGGCAAGTGATGATAAACAAAAGTGAAATGTTGTGTAGTTACATGAAATTCAAAAACTTTTAAAAAGTCAAAAAAAGAAGAAAAAGTTACTAATATCCAAAAAGAGGCTTACACAGGAGCACATTTTAATATATATATATATATATATATATATATATATATATATATATGAAGAGTCTTAAGGTGTGCTATATTTATGGGATAAAGTGCTCAATATAAGAGATAGAGTGTGTGGAAATATAAAAGTGAACATTGAAGTCAACACTTAGAGGCGACAGAAACACACATCTGAATAATGAAGAAACACACATCTGAATAATGAAATAATTTTGATAATATTATATAAACATACACATATATATTGCATTAATATATTAGTAATATATATCACATAATACATATTATGAGACCACCAAATAAACCATAACAAACAACAACTGGAAAATCTAAACTCTAATTATAAAGAATAAAGGCCTATTTTTAGGATAGTTTAAAACTATTTCTATGGCGACATTTAAAAAGATATATATATATATATATATATATATATATATATATATATATATATATTATTGTTTTATATATGCAGATTAGCCAAAGTTTAGATTTAGAAATTTCAATTCATGTAATTTAGTATTAAAATAATATTATGAACAAGAATGTGAGTGAATTGCTTTCTAGTTTATTACTGTTTGCATTATTCACACTAAACTCAAAGTAATTTCATTTTCATTCCAAGAAGGATGATATATACTTTACCTGTACAAGCATTTATATGTCCTTTTGTTTGATTGTCCTCGTAAGACAGCAGAGGTGATGACGGAGAAGAAGAAGAGGATGAAAATGGCTGAGGGAACGGAGGTGTTAATGTAAGAATTGATTTTTGCATTTGCTGGTTCTTGTGTCGGTAATTCTGTAAAATCTGCTGAGGTTCTGTTGAAGAGTTCTTCATGGATGCGTGCTCACTAACTGTGTCACCTACAGTCATAAAGGATTCCGCTGATGTACTCCCATTGACAGATACAATTTCTGTTGAAGAATCATTGACTGTTGCGAATGATTCTGCAGATGTGCTGCCGTTGACAGGTGCAGTTTTCGCTGAAGCATCACATGCCGAGACAAAAGACTCAAGCGATGTGAACATAGAGTTGTAGGATTCATTTGAGGGGCTTCCAACTGAAACAAAGGAACTGGACGAATTGAATGAATAATTTGAAAGACGGTTACTTCCCATGATGATGCGTCCAGGTTCTACACCATCAACATCCTCAAAAATGCTGTTTTTATCAAAAGAATAACTTCGCTTTTGCCTCTGGACTAATTTGACCAAATTGCGGTCTCGGCCCAACAGACTTGATTTCAAAAGTGACAGATCAGACATTTCTTCTGAAATGTCCAGAGGTGGGCCCTGATATGAGGGCCAAGATTTTCGATTGTTTTTGTTCCCGTGTCTCTTGCCAAATTGACGAGGTGTAACTACTTCATTGTCTTCAACTGGATTTAGGGTCACCATTGGTGTCTTTAAAGAGGATGAAGAAGAAGATGTCGATGATGATGAGAATGATTTATTGGTGTGGTTCGGTCGACTCTCTATCATTGAAGAGACCCTCTGCATATTGGTAGCTTTACACGGCAAAGAATTCAATCCTCTAATAGCAGAACACACCTCTTTGGTAGCAGAAGGTTTGGGGTCAATTGGAATCAGACCATTGCCAGATAATAAAGATAAGTTAGCTGTATTAAGCTTTTCTGTTGATGGTCTTTTTAGGATTCCTTTATTAAGTCTTTTGGTCTCTTTCATGGAATAATTTGTGATGGCATTATCAGAAGTGGATCCAACAGAAGCAGCCAATATTTTATCCTGGTATGACATATCAGGTGAGCTAATGGAGCCTAGATAATTAGCAGGCCTGTATACATTGGGAGCATTTCCACTGCTTTTATTTCCACCTGTCTTTTGATTTGTCTTTATTCCTAACATCGACAAAGCTGTATCCGTGATTGTCGATCTCAGGGGTGACTCGCTAACTTTAGTGTCCTCAGACAGATCAGATAAAGAACTGCTACTACTGGAATCATTAATATACTTTGGATACGAACTGCCAAGACCAAGTGAATAGCGTAATAATTCTTCAAATTGACTTCTCATTGTACTACCATCACTGTTTCTACGCTTCTCTTCTTTTGTTTCGGACACCATCTCCCCAGTGGACAAACTCCGGCATGTCTTTCCATTCAGAGAAATCTTAAACATTGCATTGAGAGGATTGTAGTCACAGACGTTTGATAAAGAGGAGTTGGAAAGAAAGCTGTGGTTCTTGCTATTTGGCATCTTGGAATTTTTACTGTTTTGTGAAAGACTTGCTGAAGACTTCCTGTTTCTGATTGTCAGCTTCATGGATGGCAGAATAGATTCATCATTTAAGTAAGTGTTTTTATAAGTGTCAAAATGATAAGGGGCAGAGTTTGTTTTAGCAGGTTCGCAATTGGCATTACTCATGTGTCGAGTATTAATTTTGTCTGGAAGGGAGTATGGCATGTCTTCCTGAATTCTCTCTGTAAAGTTCTCTTTGAATGGATCATATGAATCGGGAAAGCCTAAAAACAAAACAAATAATTCTTTAATAGTGACTGACAACAGACACAAAAATAAATACTTCTATTGTTTTTCAAAACAAAACAAATAAAGAATAATTCTAGGCAGGGCCAGTGCAAGGGTTTTGTACCCCTCAATGAATCTATTATACGAAGCCCCCACTCTACTTCATCTCAATTTTCATAAGATGATATACATATAAAATACAATTTTTTTATTGTAACCTAATTATGTACAGTAATGGACCATAAGCAATATTTGTTAACAATTCAACTAGAAAAACTGAAAATAAATACAATGTATTTGTTTCCAATTCTGTAACACCAGTCCACAAAGTTTGAAGAAATGTAGTCTTAACCGAGACCCATAAGCTTACTTGCTCAAAGCCATTTTTAACCAGTGATCTGATAAAATGATTGTACACAGCTGACAGTTTAGATATTTCTGAACAGATTTGGTGCTATGTTTGGAATCCATATGAAAATCTCAATCTGATGAGGTTATTTAAGGACATGACATGTTTTCAGATTAATGTTTTGGTTTTTGTAACAATTTGTGGTGTTGGTTGAAACTACCTCTAGCACAGCCTATTCTATGTTCAATTCCATTTTCTCCTATACTAAATTCATTAAAACTGATCCATATGTCAAAATATTTAAAGTTATTTAGTATTTACAAATTCCACATCCTGAATTTTTATGATGCATTCAGAGTAAGTGCCGTCACTGCTTTCATTCCAATTCCAGATTGTAGTTTCTGTTTTGGAAAAGTTTATCTTGAGTCCTATTTCTTGAAACATCTGTTAGATGATTTGTTTTTCTATTCAAACCCATTCTTATCCCAAACATGAATAAAGGCAGTTCTATAATCAGAATACTTGATTGGGGCTAAGGATACACATGAGTAGAATATGACAGGAAAATAACAAATGATTTACAAATGTAAAAAAAAACACCAAAAACCTAAAGGATTCTGTATTTAGTCTCAAATTATAAAGAGGCAACTCTTTATCAAAATTGCACATGTAGAACTGCTTCTTGTTATTTCAGTAAAAAGTGTGATGTCACTTGAGTTACACCCCAAGAATTGTATTGCAATCAAATGTCCCTTGAATAATCAACAAATGAATACCACCAGAAGTAGTCTATCCCAGGACAAAAAACAGTGGTGTTTATTTATATGGAGCATGAGTGTGAACCTACATCACTGATCAATCAGCCAATAAGGAGCAGCTGACAGCCAATTACATCTGTTTCACATGGCAGGGGAGGGGCTGAAGTTTGTCCAGTAATGACTCCACCATCATAACAAATTGTTTTGATTTTTTTTTTTTTTTTTTACTTTGCTTTGTTTTCTGGATGGAAAGCCATTGCTAACTTAGTAAAAAACATCTTTTGTATCTTATGTCCACCAAAAAATATGGGCCTATTTTATTACTGCAAGGTTTACATAATTAAAGGGAGATAATCATGTACTCACCCATAGAAGGTAAGCATTCATCATGGCTTTCTGCATCTGAATAGATAAATAAAAAAATGTCAAAATACAAAAAGATCATTAATTATTTTTTATATGATTATTAATAATAATGATAGTAGTAGTAATAGTAGCAAGCATATTTTAAAAAGAACACTAAAACACAAAGATAGACAGATAAAAATAGAATGAGTTAGGTGCTAACAAAATGCGATAGATATTTAGTTAGATATGTGCAGCTTTACTGATGTTTTCCAAGCAACTATAGATAGAGAAGTACTGCTTATAAGGAGTGCAGTGTGTCCTCAAAGAGGCAAAGTTTGCTTGTAAATTCTCTTCCACTTCAGGAGTATCTTTGCCTGATTTTCTCCTTAGAAAGAGTCTCTACTGAGCAATATTAACATGGTTTCTGCTGTCATTTCCAAACTAGATCACCACAAAGCTTGCAGATTTGACAGTATCCATGCAATTGTCCAAAGGAAAGGTGCTCCTGAACTGGCTCTTGTTCTCTCCAAACTCTACAATAAATGCCTCACAGCTTCTTGCATTCCAGCTTTTTAGGAATCCTCCTCTGTAGTTCATGTATTTAAAAACTCTGGCAAAACTTCTAAACCCTTGAATTATCACCTTATTAGTCTTACCTCTTTTTGGCAAAGTACTAGAGGCTCTAATTAACACTGGATTGGTTAAGCAACTCCCCTTCACATGGCCTCCTTTAAGATAAACAGCATGGCTTTTGTTCCTCCAGGTCTACAGCTGATGTGTTGACAGATATTACTAAATTTATCTATCAGGCTTTAGATAATAACAGATCATCATTCATAGTGGCTTTAGATATCTCGAAGGTATTTGACAGGGTTTGGCATGCTGGCCTTCTCCACAAGCTCCCAATAATACCTTGCATCTTAGTGAATTATCACCATGCTTGGGGTGAAATGATTAAAAAGAAAGCTTTCAGATAAACTGTATGACTTTTGTTTCTCCAGGTCTACTGCTGATGTGTTGATAGATATTACTAAATTTATCAGGCTTTAGATAAGAACAGCTCACTGTTCATAGTGGCTTTAGATATCTCGAAGGCATTTAACAGGGTTTGGCATGCTGGCCTTCTCCACAAGCACAAGGGCTATGGTGTCTCTGGATGAATATTTAGCTTAATCCAAGGTTGAATTGAATGGACACTCATCTAGATTATTTCAACTTAATGCACAGGTTCCCTCAGGGCTCTATCCTTAGACCTACATTGTTTCTTACCTTTATTAATAATCTTTCTGATTTCATCATTTCCCAAATAAGTAACTGTTTACTCCTATCTTAGTAGCAAGTCCAACAAAATAAAACTGGCAGCTGCTCTCAAAAATGACCTTCAATCAGTAGTTAACGGGCTTGTAAATTTTAACACCTCCAAAACAAAACTACTTATATTTAATCATCATAGAGAACCTTTTCTGCCTTCCATCCTTAACCCCAACTTTTCTTTCAACATGGCTGATGCTAACTTGACTTGACTTGTATCGGTTTTCACCCTGGTTGAGTTGAACCGGCTTCCTCCCGAGCAAGTACAGCATCACGGATCATCGCTGCCCACACTCACTGATCCTGAGCCAGGTCACACGAAATGGTGAGCCAATCGCGATTTCATCGTCAAAGACGAACTACTTGTGGACCTGATAGTACTGCTAGGTCATCCTTAATTGTGCTAGCCCACGTCCTCAGCTGCCCACCGACATGTTTTCGCCAGCCAGGAAGAGAAGGAGGGAGAAGTACATCGCGGATGAGCTCTCCCTCCAGGCATCGAGTTGCATGCCCAAACCATCGGAGACAACGCCAGAGCAGGACGGGTGGAAGAGGACAGAGACTCAGGCGACAACATAGAGTGGCTGTGGGTACACGATCGATTTGGCGGCATCGTAGGATGCGGCAAAGGCAACCTCCAGGAGAGCAAATATCTCCACCTTCTTGAGCTCACATTTTCAGGTGACATGAATTCAAGTGATTATATTGAATCAATTCCTAGGTCTACTGTTAAGAAAGTTGATTCAATATGTTTTGCTAGACAATTTTTCTGTATTGAATATTGCCACAATATTTGGTCAAGTGCTCCTACTATATATCCCAAGAATCTTGCCAAAATCCAAAAAAGGTTATGTAATGTAATCAATCATGAAACATTCTGAAAAGCAAAGGAAGTATTTGTCACAAATTACTTCCGCAACACAAAGAAAAATCACTGTAAGTTCAGACTCGAATATCGGGGTCAGAAAGAAATGCTGAAAACTCAATTCGCTGGTACTATCTCACAAATCACAATGCACGTAACCAGTCAGAAAAATAACTCACTCTCCAACAAACACAGTAGCCAAAATACACAAATTCTTTCTCCCCGATTCGAGAACACCAACTGCTTTTATCAGCCAAACATTTTTTCCATTCGTCGACAGCTGGGAGAGGATGGTCAGTAATTTGCATATCAAAATACTTTTATAGTGACTCCTGCGACAGACTTTTTTTTTTTAGTTCAAATACTCCACCTTCAGCATGTCATGCGGAATACGTGCCCTTTTGTTTGGTAAGTAATTTTCTTTTTCACCACATTTTCCATCGTAGAATACATGTGATACACTGTCACTTGGTTTGACGAGGTGAGTTGCCATTTTCTTCGCTATAGTAATCAATCATGAAATGGCATCTTGACTTCAGTCATTTTTTCACCAACGTGATGTGGTTGCTCTGTCTTTCCTACAAATATTTTCCTGGCATTTGTTCTGATGAGCTTTCCTCCTTGGTGCCCAGATTACATGAATTTAAGCACAATACTAGATTGGCAATTAGGTCTCACTATTTTACTATTGAAAATTGCTAGATGCAATTGTATGTTCTATTCTAGTAGTTTTTTTTTCACACTTCTTGTCTGTGGAACTCCATTCCATTTTCTTGCTTCTCTGCCACCTACAATTTTCAAAAATTTAAATGCAATGCCAATCAGCATCTTCTGTCTTCCTGAAACCTGTTCATTTATAGTCCTTTCTCCTCACTAAAGTCTTCTTATTTGCTTTCACTCCCAGTAACACCTTGCATCTTAGTGGCATTATTGCCTTGCTTGGGGGTTAAATGTTTAAAAAAAAAGCTAGATAAATGATAAATAGATAGATAATGAATGGATTGTGATAGATAGATAGATAGATAGATAGATAGATATGAGCAGAAAAAGATAGATATGAACAAAAAGCAAATAGATCTTCTTTTATATGTCATGTCTCTTCTGGATGTGGGTGATCATGGTTCTCCACAACTTCCTGTCTTTTTTACACTAAATAACTTTTGACCCTTTACTACCATTTGTACATCCCTGTTCAGCCATCCATTCATACAAACTTGTCAAGTAAGTTATTTGCTGTTTTCCCACTTCTTCATTATTTCATCAGTCATTCCCTTTTTTTTTTTTCGCATCTCTCTTCTCTGGAGATAATAACTTTTGTAGATATCCCTAGTGGTTCCTTTAAAGTGTCCCACTTTGAAAATACAACCTCTTCTAAATTTTTATATTTGTCCGTAACTACAGCATAGGTTTGTCTACAAGATGAGTCATTCTATAGTCTGTTGTATTGTAGTTTACTTATTGCCTTAAGTTTCTTTAATTTTCATATTTTTGTCTTTAGTTTGTCTATGACTGAGAGATGTTTGTTCCTACAGTCAGCACTTGAGTTCATTTTAGATTTGAAAACTACATTTGTAAATAATTTACAGATTGTTAGGTAGTTTATCTGATTTTTTGTATCTCTTCCTAGGCTTTACTATGTCCACAAATCATGGATGTTCTTGAAACTAGATAATAGTTATTAATTTGTCACTTTCTGTCTCCTACAGAAGGATGCTGAGAATATCATGGACTGGACATGTGAGTAACAAGGAAGTTTTAATGAAAATGGAAACAAAAAGGACACTTTTATTTAATACTGGAAAGAGTCTGTTGAATTTTCTCGAACACATTATAAGGAAAGAGGTCTTGGAGAATTTGACATTCACAGGACATATTGAAGGTCAGTGAGACAGAGGAAAGCAACAACTAACTTACCTAATGAGCTTGTGTAAATGGATGATAGGATAGAGAGTGGGCGAGATAGTGAAAAGGAAAACATTACTAAGAGCTACAAAGGCAGAAAGTTGTAGAAAGATATGATTACCCACATCTTGAAGGGTCAGGACATATGGTCTAAGAAGAAACTGTCTACCAATGAACCCATTTTTCTCTGTGTTCATTGCATGATCGAACTCCATATATACCAAGTATCTTGTTCCTTTTTTATTTGTTTAGTTAATTAGATATCAATAGACTTAGATAGATAGATAGATAGATAGATAGATAGATAGATAGATAGATAGATTGGAACCTCGACTTATGAACACTTCCACTTACAAAAAACTCGCCATACAAACAAAAATTTGTCAAAAAATTCATTTCTGCTTACGAATTAATTTCGAGCTATGAAATTAAGAATGGGCTTCCCGCCATTGAATTTCAAACTAGATATTTCATATAAATGTACCGTAAATACTTTTTAATCTTATCTAAATATACTGTATTTTATATTTTAATGTTTTATATATTATGATATAATACTGTATTACAATATTTTTTATACTGTATTTTTATACTGTACTCTTAAATATTTTAGACTGTATTTTTTATTTTTATGTTTTATATACAGTGTACATATTTTATATACAGTACTGTATTATATTATTATACAGTACATATTTTTATACAGTTCCTTCACACTAGATGTAGTGTGATGCTATAAGCATTGCATCATCCAGTTTAGACCTCTTTCTTACCTCATAGAATAAACATTTGTAGTATATGCATATTTTTGATTATATTAGTAATTTGTAAAAATTTATGAATAGTAATGAATACAATACATTTACATTACTGTATAGTACAGTAACGTGTAAATTTTATTAAAATTTATTGAATGTGACAATGCTGGGTTTGTTTTGTTTAAACTTTATGTAATGTAAAGTGTGCTTTTGTCTAATATACAGAATATAATCATTGAATTTTAAATTGATATCAATAAAGTATAGTAGAAAAATGTAAAAAAATTTATAAAATTTAATTAGAGTTAAAATAAAATATACAAAATGCAGGTACAGTGCATAAACTACACAAAATGCAGGTACAGTGCATAAACTACACAAAATGCAGGTACAGTGCATAAACTACACAAAATGCAGGTACAGTGCATAAAGTACACAAAATGCAGGTACAGTGCATAAACTACACAAAATGCAGGTACAGTGCATAAAGTACACAAAATGCAGGTACAGTGCATAAACTACACAAAATGCAGGTACAGTGCATAAACTACACAAAATGCAGGTACAGTGCATAAACTACACAAAATGCAGGTACAGTGCATAAACTACACAAAATGCAGGTACAGTGCATAAACTACACAAAATGCAGGTACAGTGCATAAAGTACACAGTCAGTTTAGGTTGTTTTATGCAGTACATTTCATCACTGCGGTTTGTTCCTTTACATTTTTCTATACAGTCACTGTACAGTACAGATTAAATGTGTTACTGTAAGTATTACTGTACATGTACAATAAATTTTAACTTTTAGTGGGTAATTTTTTAATAATTTTTGTAGCCTATGATGTCACCCAAGAAGCTGGTTGCTACTAAGAAGAAGGGAAAAATATCTGTACAAATGAAAAAGGAGATCATTCAGAAGAAAGAAGATAACCATGTTTCTGATTTTGCCAATCTATACGGACATTCAGCATCAAGAATTTGCACTATACTAAAGAACAAGATAGAAATAAAAAAGCTTGATGTAGCCAAGGGAGTTAGCATAATTACCAAGTATCATGCAAAAGCCCTAGAAGATGATGAGAAGTTGTCGTTCATATGGATGAATAATGAGAGGCAACTACAGGGTGATTCTGTGTCTGAAGATATCACACGTGCAAAGGCAAGGGCACTGTATGTGGATCTTATCAGAAAAATACCAGGCACATCTTCTGAAGATGAAAATGCATTTAAGGCAAGCCAAGGATGGTTTGAAAAATTTAAAAAGAGAACTGGCATCCACAGTGTAGTGAGACATGGAGAGGCTGTGATATCTGATAAAGCTACCTTGTTTCAGAGGTGTTTTGAAGTGACCAAAAACACAAACCTGACCCTAAGAGAATTTTGGTAAGGATCACTTCAGTATTCTAAATTGCTTAAATCTCATTGACAAAGCCTGAGAAGAAGTCACAGTGATATACTTATTTACATTATTTGTGTATAATCTTTAAAAAAAGTACTTTAATTTTGCATAAAATTTGATTTTTATATTAATAAATTTGGGGGCTTGGAACTAATTAATTTAATATTTATTATTTTAAATGGGGAAAATTGTTTTGACATACAAAATTTCCAGTTACGAATCCACTCCTGGAAAGGATTAAATTCGTAGGTCAAGGTTCCACTGTAGATAGATAGATAGATAGATTATTCCTCTTTTGCTTGCTTGCATTTCTTTTTAAAGTCTTTCTGAGATAGATAAATATGAACAAACAGAGATACATAGATATGAATAGATTGAAATTGATAGATACATAGATATAAATAGACTGAGGTAGATAGATACGTAGATATGAATAGATTGAAATCGATAGATACATAGATATAAATAGACTGAGGTAGATAGATACGTAGATATGAATAGATGACATAGATAAATAAATAGATAGATATGAGACATTCCTCTTTTGCTTGCTTGCATTTCTTTCTAAAGTCTTGACTTAATATTCTATATTCCTTGGTATTATCTACCATCTCATTATTTGAGAATTTCATCTCTTATCCACTTCTTTCTTTTTATTTGACTCTCTTGGGAAAGTCATTTTTACTGCTGTCTCTTAGTAGGTAGGTAGGTAGGTAGGTAGGTAGGTAGGTAACAATTTTTAGATAGATTAGAACAAACAGATAGATTTGAAAATATGAGTTAAGGAGTTGTCACCAACTCTTGAAAAGAATTTTTCTTACTGAGTTAGTAGGAAGGGACGATCATTAGTAAAACTTTAATCATATAAGTTTCCATATTATTTAAGAAATAAGAAAAACAATGTTGATGAAAACAGTTTTACTACCTTTGTTGTTATGCTTCTCTCTCTTGTCATGTGTGTTTTGATCAAGGTCTGAGGAAGAAAAATAATGTATGATTAGACATTATGAAGAAAAGATTTTTTAGAAAAAAAGTTTAAAGTGATTTTTAAATTAATTCCCAATCCAACTATGACAACACTTTTTCAAAGGTATTTTAATCTACAAACGTTTTTAATTCTTCATGAAACAATTTGAAAACAAGAAAAAAAATCTTGTGTCCATATCTAAATGTAAGGCAGTCACCTGATCTCTCCAAAATCAGGTACACATGCAGAGTTTCATGGTTTCATAGCATTTATTAAATCCTATATATTTTTCAACCAATAAAATCCCATCAAAATGTTTGTTTGATAAGCAATCATTACAAGGGCAAATACCACCAAAATACTTGCAGATGTAGTTGCAGACTTACATCCTTGTGCAAAATTAATTGAAACAATTGCTTTAGTTTCCTTTCTTTCATGATAAAGTCAGTTTTAGACCCACTGGAGTGACAGGGTGTAATTGATTTCTATTTTTTCCTCAGATTAGGTCATTTGCAGTGGTGTGCAGTAGTATGAATCTATTTTCAGGGTGTGTAATGAAATTTGTTTGGCCTTGAAAAATATTGCGTCATCCATGATTGCATCAGATTTTCATAATGCCCAGACACTAATGTCTCGAAAGTTGGCCACTGTCTGCGATGAATGTTACTCCAAGGAAGCGTATGAAAATTATAACACTGCACAAACACACTGGCAAGCCATACCAGTGAGCAAATCAAAGTACTATAAACTGGCCCGGAAACTCTCCTGATTTAAATACAATCGAGAATCTGATCAATCTGCAAGGAATGACTTCATGGAATAGACATACAAAGTGTACTGGGTTATGTTTCATTGGAAAAATACAAAAAAAAGTAAATGATAATGGAATTATTTGTTTTGTTTCAATTAATTTGCACAAGGTCGTAGCACATGTTATTTTTGGACAATTTAGGAAATAACAATAATAACTCCCTTTACCACTCCTGCAAACTCAAGAAAAAGATTTTCACGTGCCTGTGTGAAATTATTTTCTAACCAATAAAAAGCTTGTATTCAAAAAGTTCACACCTCTATGCAAAATTAGATTTTGAATAAAAATAGAAGCACACTTGCTCATGCTCACAACAATTTCAAAGGCCAGTTTGATCTACATGTGCGCACACACACATGCACATAATGGGGGAGAGACAGCCAGCAGCTCCTAAGTCCTTGTTCTACTATTTAACCCATAACAGAGGAAGAGGTAATAGAATCATTCCTTTCCTAAGTGAATGCAATGAGCCACTTTCCATTTTACCACCCGCACATCGTCACCTGAGTGAAATAGAACATAAAGACTTGGGAAAAAATCAAAAGGTGAACAATTCCAATTACATTAACAAGAATCAATAATTGATAGCATTGCTTACCTTGAGTGACTGTCAAGAGATTGCTGAAGAAATGAGAGTCTCGCAGAAGAGCATCTGAGTTATAAAATTTGCTGTCAAAAAACAGAGGAAAGAAACATTGAATAATATAAGAGGAGATAATAATTAACTCTACAGAAAGAAAATTCTACAGCAGATTATATAAAACAAGTTAAATGTTTAAAACACAGAATACAATTTGCGCCCCATCAAGGATGACAATGAGGGTATCAGCATTTGTTATTAATACCTGAACAGGAAGGTAATTATGGGGAAGTGATTTACCTAAGTGTGTACTCACCCACATTCTAAATTCTATCCTGTCCCAGTTGACTATAAGGGTAACAGCTTTCTGGTACTAATGCCTGAACAGGAAGGTAGTAATGGGGAAGTGCTTTGCCTAGGTGCTCACTAAACCAACAATTGTACTCTGTCAAATTTTACTATAAGGGTAATCAGCTTTTTGTTGCTATTGCCTGAAAAGGAAGGTAGTTATGAGAAGGTTCTTTTCATAAGTGTTGCACTCACCCATACTCTCAATTGTACTCTATCAAGATTGGCTATAAGTGCAACAGCTTTTTGTTGCTATGGCCTAAATGGGAAGGTAGTTATGGGGAAATGGTTTTCCTAAGTGGTTATTTACTCACATCAAAAATTGTAGCATATCAGTTACAAGACATTGTATGAAGAGATCTGGTGATGAGTTTTACAGAAGAGCATCTGAGTTATAAAATTTGCTGTCAAAAAACAGAGGAAAGAAACATTGAACAATATGAGCTGACATAATATCTAACTATCTATATAAAAAAAATTATTTACAGAAAATTATCTGCAGAAATTAATATTTCAAAAGTCAGAATACGATTTACACTATGTCAAGGTTGATAACAGATGTAACAGCTTTCAACTGCTATTGCCTGGCCTGGAAGGTAATTATAGGAAAATGATTTGCCTAAGTTCTCATTTACTCACTCTTCTACATTAACAACTGTGGCATACCAATGACAAGATATTGTATCAAGAAATCTAGTGATAAGACAGAATACAGGGAGAAAGTGGATTTGTGCCTTTCCCAATCTGGACTTGGTTTGTTAATTCTGTTTGCTATGCCAATACCAATGTTACCACTCTGCACATTTCATAAACCAGAAAATACTTAAAAATAATAAATAGACACTGTAAAAAAATTTTTTTAAAATAAATACTATATAATGGATAGTCTCTGAATAATTACTTGTAGAAGATTATCAAAAAAAAAGATAAAATATAATTTAATAAATTCATATTTATCATCATAAGCCCCATAACACATTAGAGTGATGTACTGTGGCCATAGAAGCAGCAGGTGTCTCCAGAGCATGATATCCTGATGGAATCCATCTCTCTTCAGTCTGTTTTTGAATTCAGAATTTTCATTCTCCTACTTCTTGTTATACTATGTGCTATGACCCTTCAGTGCATTGGTGATCATGGCTCTCCACAACTTCCAGTCCTTTGCAGCTATTAATAAATTTTGTCTTTTTGCCATCTCTCCCAAACCCAGCACTGCCATCCATTTACTCAGATAGGTTATGTGTTGTTTTCCTCTGTCCCACCTTCCATCAATATCTCTTGTGAGTATTAAATTTTCAAAGCCCTCTTTCCTCATTATGTACTCTAGAAATTTCGACTGTCTCTTCCTGATATTAAGTATAAGAGTCATTTTTATTTTCATTATCTCTAGAACATAGTTGTTATTCACACATTCAGTCCATGGTATTCTCAGCATCAGTTGCTTCATCTATGAGGTTCAGTACTCTTTTCTTTGTTTCTAGTGAAATGTTTCTGTTTCTTATCCATAACTTAGGGGAAGATGGATTCATGCCTTTTCTAAGAGCATTAATGCAAAATGAATGACTCAGTAAAAATTTGAACTAGGCATGCCAGTTTCACTTTCCACACCAATATGTGCCATTTGTTGCGTTATTATTACAAACATACATACATACAAAAATTGTATTATAATAATAATAATAATAATGAATCAATTGTCCAGGCATCATTATTAGAGACCACAAACAATAAAAGTGCCTCCTTATTGATATGGCAGTCCCTGCAGACTGCAACGTATCTTTGAAGATCTTCAAAAAGCTATCAAAATACAAGGACCTTGAAATCAAAATCTCAGAAATGTGGCACATGGGAACATCAACTATTCTTGTTGTATTTGGAACCCTCGGATTGATTGAAAAAGACTTCAAGTTCATCCTTTCAACAGAAGCACCAATGAAATTATTTTTGAAATGTTTTTATTAGAATATCTTGTTAAAAATATTTTTTATATGTGTTTCAGCCCTTTACTTAATTTTATGAAAACTTGAGAAATTCAATGAGATAATTTTTAGTAACTATATTAGTTAAAAGCAGAATTCTTTGAAGAATTTAAATCACAAATTTTTACTGAAAATCTATTCTGAATCAAAAAATAAAAAAATGCAATAAAACTAAGACATTAATTAATTAGGGAAGCTTTTAATTGCTTTTATGAATATATATTAAAGACAATATTGTCTGAAGAGAAAAAAATTTTCAATGAAAAATGAATTTTTACAAGATTCATTTTCATTTTTTTACAATTTTAAATTGAGTAATTTACAAAGTTTTTAAATCTTTTAAAATTCATTTTCAATGAGATAATTCTTAGGAAATATTGTTATTAAGTAAAATTATATTTACTAATCATATATTGTACAGCTTATTACAATCTGACAACCCCAAATATTTTTTTGGTTTTTGTATGTGTGATTACATACAGAATTTCTGAAGTATGGATGTAAAAACCAATAAAGGACACATGTTTTAAGGATTATCTCCCCTTACAGCAAAAAAAAAACTTTATTGTCTGCTTCACCATACTTAACTATAAACACATTCAGCTGTCAATCAGATGTAAATAAATCAATTAAAATGTCAGATGTTTGCATTTAACATTTTATGCCATAAGTAATATTTATTTCAAATCAGATTAATTTAACTTTAAATTTGCTAATTTTCCTCAAATTATGTTTCAGAAATATATATTTTAATTTTGCAAGATTTTTAAAACTGAGAATTAACTTTTGTTTACAAATGTGTCAAAAATGACCATTTTGATCAATTTTAATGAAAAAAAATTGATTCCAATCAATATAATTTATGTCAGAAACAAACCACTGAGTATTTTGCTTACTGGAAATAGTAAATTTTAAACCCTTTAGATTTCAATTAAAGCTAAAATGAAAGCTTCAAGAAAGCTTTTTCATTTTTAAAAATTCATTTTAAACCTTACTTATACCGAATTAATGGAGGTACCTAAGTAAAATGGTCCAAATAAACACAAGATTGGGACACAGCATGGCACTGTGGACTTTTCTGATTTTGGACCATTCACCCATGGATGTATCACCAATGGCACTTGAGTCAAAGATGATTAATGATAATATATTTTCACAAAAGTCTCTGTAACTTTTATACAAGTTTACCTAAGTAAATATTATTAGTTTATTTATGTGGGATGTATGTAGATAGATCAATTCATTTGTAGCCTGGCCCACCTATTACCTAAATTTTCATCTGGATATTTCACTTTATAATGGTGAAGTGAATTGACAAGGAAGAAGATCATTATAAAAAAATAAAATATTTATTTGATAAAATAAATGCTTATTTTTTTATCAAAGGCTTATGAATAGTTTATTTAATAGTCAAACATTTCAAGTTATTGCAAAGTTTCCTCCCTTGAATATGTGTTTAGTCTTTGGAATATAATTCAGTTTTTTTAAAATATAGTACAATTAGGTTGGTTGATTTTACGACCTGTCAATCCTTGTTGAGCTATCTAATGTCATATTTTGTATGAGGCACTTAGTGAGGATCAGACTCACTAGTCAGTAGTAATGGTCAACTAAACTTTCAAAAATGTGTATCATTTTTCTCTCATATTAAGGTTAGTTGTAAAATAAATCATCATTGGAATTATTTAAATAATTTTAAATTAATTACTATTTATATTTGATTTTATTATTTCTAATTCAAACTAAAACTGGTTAAAAGATTTTTAGATTATTTATTTACAAGATTAATTGCATATTTTCAAGATTATATTATATTGTATTGTTAGATATTTTACAAGATTAATTTTATATTTTTCAAGATTATATTATATTGTTAGATATTTTACAAGATTAATTTTATATTTTCAAGATTATATTATATTGTTAGATATTTTACAAGATTAATTTTATATTTTCAAGATTATATTATATTGTTAGATATTTTACAAGATTAATTTTATATTTTCAAGATTATATTATATTATATTGTTAGATATTTTACAAGATTAATTTTATATTTTCAAGATTATATTATATTATATTGTTAGATTTTTTACAAGATTAATTTTATATTTTCAAGATTATATTATATTATATTGTTAGATATTTTACAAGATTAATTTTATATTTTCAAGATTATATTATATTATATTGTTAGATTTTTTACAAGATTAATTTTATATTTTCAAGATTATATTATATTGTTAGATTTTTTACAAGATTAATTTTATATTTTCAAGATTATATTATATTGTTAGATATTTTACAAGATTAATTTTATATTTTCAAGATTATATTATATTGTTAGATATTTTACAAGATTAATTTTATATTTTCAAGATTATATTATATTATATTGTTAGATATTTTACAAGATTAATTTTATATTTTCAAGATTATATTATATTATATTGTTAGATTTTTTTACAAGATTAATTTTATATTTTCAAGATTATATTATATTATATTGTTAGATATTTTTACAAGATTAATTTTATATTTTCAAGATTATATTATATTGTTAGATATTTTACAAGATTATTTTATATTTTCAAGATTATATTATATTGTTAGATTTGTTACAAGATTAATTTTATATTTTCAAGATTATATTATATTGTTAGATTTGTTACAAGATTAATTTTATATTTTCAAGATTATAAAAAAATATGAAAATATTCAAATTTATTGGCAATTAGCCGATGTTTTCATATTTAATTCTTTATAAAATGGTAAATAATAAATATTGCATTGTAGTTCATTATCAAGAAAAATATCTGCCCAGAGAGTGCATATT